TTTCTTCATTATACTCTTATCTACAGTTGCCTTTTGTATCTCTACGTGTTTTAAGGGTGGAATTAATTCATCTGAATAATTGTGAATAATCAACACCTTTGTTTCTAGATGTTGGAGCTTGGCCTGTTTTCCAGTGTAGTCCTGTTTCTCTGACTGTGACTAACTGGATGTGCTCTCTTCATCCTCTGACATGGGAGCTGGCTCGGAGCTCGTCCGCCTGTGGAGCTGGTTGGCAGTTGCCTTTTGTATCACAAGCGCACTGCTCTTTTTCTTATATATTTGAATTCACCTTCAAAGCTGAAGGTGAATTCAAATATATAAGAAAAACATACTTTTTGGTGGATAAAAGCCTGTTTATTTTATCAGTTGGGTCCTCAGAAAGCAAAACAGACGGACTCCTGGCCTGAAACAATCTCCCAGTACAGCCATGGACATTTATTGCCCGTTTGTGTGAGTTTATTTCTGGATTTAAGTATTTTTTGGACTTTTTGTGGATTTTGTTAGTTTAGATTCCGCCACCTTTTGTGATTAAACTTACAAGAAACCACCTCAGCTTCAGTCTCTGCATTTGGGTCCTCTTCAACCCCAGACCCAGCCTGACACTGACAGGTTCTGGTTCTGAGTCCAGAGCCAAATCCTGGCGGTGAGAGATCAGCCTGTCTGGTTTCACTGGACGCATCCCAGTGAGACTCTAACTGGGACACAGAGGCTGCTGAAGCAGTCGCCTTGGTTACTGTTACCATGGTGATGCCAGGGAGACCCTGACGGGAATGTGAAGCAAGACGTTGGTCTGGGTCTGACCTTTGTCAAACTCTGAAATCCTGAGTGGGTTTTTTTCTGCGGTTTTATGACAGGCGGGGGGGCGGGGGAAATAGCACGTTGTGAGGACCGATGCCTGGACGCCATGAGCTGTTTCAGGGTCAGGGGTCAAAGACTGAGTTTAGCATGATTGTCAAGCTGTAGAAATGAATGAAAGTCAATGGAAAGTCCCCACAAACATAGAGAGATGTGTGTGTGTGTTCTTACGGTGAACTGGATCTGACAGCCTCCCATGATGTAATCCAGGAAGGAGTGCATCTTGATGATCTGCAGACAGGAAGGGAAAGCAGTGAGGCAGCCAATCAGAGAAGAGCGGGCTGAATAAAGCTGAATAATGCCAGAAAACATGCTTCTGAGTGGTTCTGAAAACTGGACTCATAATGACCTCAGAAACACTGAAACATCATCAGTAAAAACAGTGAAGCTTTGTGGGTCGATCTGGACGTCTTGCTCAGACAGGAAGGGACAGGAGAGAGGACGAAAGGATGATGTCATAAACGTAAAAAGCTCCCCTGTGAAATGGTTAATGATCCGTTCAGCTTCCCGTCTCTCTGACCCAAAGGAAGTCAGTCCATGGACACCAGAAACTCTGGGTTCTGGTGGTTCTGGAGGGGAGAGAACAGTGCTGTGAAGCTGGGAATGTGTTGCAGCCTGAAATATAATCAAGTGATTTTAACAATGGAGAAAATGTTCCAGCTCCGTCTGTCACGGCCCGGTTTGCTCTGACAGAATTGGATCAGGGGAAAAGTTCACGCGTCATGTGGTTCTGATGGAAGGAGGGCAGCGGCTCGTTCTCATTCCATCATCCAATGCCAAGCGCCTTCTGAACTAAGATCTTTGTTTGCCTGCAGATCGGAGGGAATCATCTGGTCCATAATTCAGTTTCTCCTCCTCGCTGAGGATGGATCTGGTGGAAGGTGTAGAAGAGGGAGTGTCGTCAGCCTGAATATTATCTGATATTCATTCAGTTGCAGGGTTCCCCCATGGTTCCACAGGGTTTCCAAGGGTTCCCCCAGGGTTGCACAGGGTTTCTCGGGGTTCCACAGGGTTCCCCCAGGGTTCCACAGGATTACCCGGGGTTCCCCCAGGGTTTCACAGGGTTTCTCGGGGTTCCCTAGGGTTCCACAGGGTTCCATAGGGTTCCACAGGGTTTCCCCAGGGTTCCACAGGGTTTCCGAGGGTTCCATAGGGTTCCCCCAGGGTTCCACAGGGTTTCCCAGGGTTCCATAGGGTTCCCCCAGGGTTTCCCAGGGTCGCATAGGGTATCCACAGGGTTTCCCAAGGTTCCATAGGGTTCCCCCAGGGTTTCCCGGGGTTCCCTAGGGTTCCACAGGGTTCCCACAGGGTTCCACAGGGATTCCCACGATTCCATAGGGTTCCCCCAGGGCTTCCCACGGTTCCCTAGGGTTCCACAGGGTTCCCACAGGGTTCCACAGGGATTCCCACGATTCCATAGGGTTCCCCCAGGGCTTCCCACGGTTCCCTAGGGTTCCACAGGGTTCCCACAGGGTT